AATAATATATATATATATATATATATATATATATAAAAAAAAAAAGAGGGGGAAGAAAGCGGAAAACGTCGGTTCAAGACGATCGACCGATCGACGACCGATCTCTCGATCACGATTCCTATTCCTCCTCCCACGCTTTAATTGGTGGCTGCCACGATGACGGGGTTGGCCCGATTAAAAGTTTCCGCGTCGCTTCGAACGAGCGTTGCGTGCGCTCAGCTTCCGCCGATGCTTGAAAAATCGAGGAGGAACGGGTTAAGTGGATCCTCCTCCGTGGACTTCGCGTGATCGCCGTCGTGAACGATTCTTTGTATCCTTTTCTCTTATTTTCTTTTTCTTTTCAGCTCGTTCGATGGTGGACAAAGGATGAATGAACGGAGACGAGCAGATGTTCGAGGAAAAATTATATTCTCGTTTTGGAAAAATAAAGTTTTTTTTCTAAAGCGTGATTAAAGAAGATTTAAATCGATAATTTTTTCCACAAGCATCGTGTTTGGGAGAAAAGATAAGTTCGGGGGGGGGATGAAAGAGACGAGTTTGAGGAGACGATGGATTTCGATCTTCTTGGAAGAACGCAGTTAAAATCGCGATATTTCCACGTAGAATTCTTTATAACTCTCTCGCCTCGAGGCTTGGAATTTATTCCCATAGAGGAGGCCGAGTACAAAGTCCCGGAAACACGAGTCGACGAGTAAAGGAATCAGCGTTTTCGGACTTCTCCGAAAAGACAAACCTGTTTTTAACTTTGTGTTCTCGTCGAGTATATATATAGAAAAGGATACATTTCTTGGAAGAAGTCCAGGTGAGGTGGTTGAAGGATGTCCAGGGCCGAGAGAACCTGAAAAAGAAAAAGAAAAAACGAAATTGAAATTATGGGCGGATTCGAAAGAGGAATTTTGCAAAAACTCGTCTTGTTCGCTCGTACACCAACAATCAATCCATTTTTATTTTCATTTCTGTCAAAAGATAGATACTTGAGTATCAATGTGTAGCATCATATTTCAAAATCATATTAATATATATAAATCGAAAAATTATACGATACGAAAGGGATCTTTCCAACTTCGATCATTGTTTTTTTTTTTTTTTTTTTTTTTGCTTCGTTTAAAAAATTCCCAAAATAATGAACGATGATAAACTGATGAAAATTTCAAACCACGTGTTCCATTGTGACAATATTTTTCTTAAAACGTTTAAAATTAATGGAATTCAGAAACACGATCGAGACATCGGCACGTTCCTCCGGTGGCCGCACGATAATGCGTTTATCTGGCTCGTAAAACAAAATGCCTGCCGTATTTTCCCCAGATAACCACGAAGTAAGATAAGTGAGTTATGGAAAATCGGGAAACTTGGAGGGGAGAAAGGAGACGAGATCGATCTTTCAGGCGGGGAGAAGTTGGCTTTTCTTCATTCGAATATTTTTAATATATATATATATATTTTTTTAATAAAAAGTTGTCTCGAAAATCGAGCAAATTGAGATTTATACGCCGATTAAAAGTTTTAGATCTAATTGTGGATTGTTACGATTATTAATACACGGGGAGAGAAGAAGAGTATTACGTTATTTGTAATAATTAGAAGTTGGATAATTAGAAGAGGTAAGGGAAGGCAGAGAATTTTAATTTTCCTTTATTTCTAAAGTTCAAACGATATTTGCATAAAATTTGCATGGAGAAAATTTCGAGCACAAATTTCTTCGAAGGAGAAATAACAAAAACATCTCGTGGATATAATTTAAAAGTAACCTGTTCGAGTGTGCGATTAAGTCCTGTGTTTCCAATGCATAAAATTTGTAGGACAAAGTTGAAAGTTTCACGCAGAGTTTCTCGAAAAGAATAATGATAATTTAATACAAGTAAATAGTCTTTTTAAGGAATTAATGAAAATCCGCTCATAATTATTACGAAGCAGAATTTTTATTATTTTATAAATGTAAAACTTACGTTTTCGTGTTTGAAGAAGCAGAGCATCTTCAACTCCCTGAAGACTCGTTTGCTGCTCACGAGGCTCTGAAAGACATTCGGCAGTTTTTTCAAGGCCACTCTCCTACCATCCCTCGGATCTGTCACCGCCCTGTAAATTACAAGGAAAACGCGTTATCGATAAGAATCTGTGCAGAGAGAGAGAGAGAGAGAGATTCTTTTCCAGATTATTCCTATGTTCCTTCGATTTTTCTTTCCACACATTTTGAAAAAAGTGTGTTGACTCGTCTTTATTTCGTAAAATCGTTCGTTAACGCTTTTA